CCGATCAGGGAGCCTGAACCCCAACAAAAGACCCCACCCCCCCAGGGAACCAATATCCGTTCCCCAAACCGAAACCCCTGTACAATCTGCTTGGCCGACCAGGGAGCCTGAACTCCAACAAAAGCCCCTCCTCCCGGGGAAGCAAGATCCGTTTCCCCAAACCGCCGCACCGGTCCAATCTGCCAGGCCGACCAGGTCGCCTGAATCCCCAAAAATGCTCACGCCCCGTGGGACCCGAGACCCGTGCCCCCCCACCGCCGTCGCTGCCGCCGCCGCCATCCAAGCAGCCAGGCCAACCAGAGAGCCTTCATTGAAATAAATGCCCCGCCCACGAGACCGGAGACAGGGGCACGCCCACCACCGCCGTCTTCGTCGTCCAAGGAGCGAGGCTGACCAGGGATCCTTCACACACAAAAAATTCCCCACCCCATTGGGTACGGAGACTGTGACGCGCCCACAGCCGCTGCCGGCGCCACTATCTAAGCAGCCAGGCCCACCAGGTCGCCTGAAGCCCCAAGAAAGCTCCCCCCCATGGGACCCGAGACCCGTGCCCGCCCACCGCCGTCGCTGCCGCCGCCGTCATGGTCCAAGCAGCCAGACCGACCAGGGCGCCTTGACCCTAGCAAAACGCATCCACCAGAAGACCCGAGACTCGGGACCGCCCACCGACGCCGCCGCTGCTGTCCAAGCAGCCAGGACAACCAGGGAGGCTTCGCGGAAATAAATGCCCCGCCCACGAGACCGGAGATCTGGGCACGCCCACCGCCCCATCTTCGTCGTCCAAGAAGCAAGGCTGACCAGGGATCCTTCACCCCCCAAAAATTCCCCACCCCATGGGCACCCGAGACTAGGACCCGCCCACTGCCGCTTCCGCCGCCGCCGCTGCACAAACGGCCAGGCATCCAGGCCGATCAGGAAGACTGAACCCCAACAAAAGCCCCATCCCGGGGACCTGAGACACGAGCCCACCCCAGGCCGCCGCCGCCGCCCATCAGCAAGTTCTACCAGGGAGCCTGAAAGACAACAAAAGCCCCACCCAAACGGGGGACTAGAGACACGGGCCGCCCACAGCCCATCAGAAACTGCCACCCGCAAAGTTGTCCTAGCCCCCAGGCCAACAAGGGAGCCTTCACCGAAACAAAAGCCACGCCCCCTAGACCAGAGACCTGGGCAGGCCAACGAAGCCGTCTTCATCGTCCAAGAAGCGAGGATGACCAGGGATCCTTCACCACCAAAAAATTCCCCGCCCCATGGGGACCAGAGACTAGG